GCTGCCTTCCTCCCCTTCCAGACACCTTGCAGGCCCTGGGGGCTGTGACCCAGTTGACTGATTGCTCCAGAGCGTCTTGCTAAAAGTGCAGGGCAGTGCATTTTTGTCTTCGGTCTTTCTGAGGCCTGCATGGGTCTCCTGTCTGTAGACCTTTCCAGGTCCTTGTTCTGATGTCAGCTGTCAAGACAACTGTTGTGCCACCCAGAGAACCCCAGCAACTGCCTTTGGGACCCAGAGGCTCCCTGCTGCATCCCACCTGCAAGACTGTGTTCTCTGACCCCTGAGCAGCAGTGCATTTGGGCTGCTTGGCAGGTCCTTTGCCCTCAGGGTCCCAGCCCCATGTGTGCGTCCTGTGGGGCCCTCAGGGGGCAGCCCCACCATACTTGGCCATCCCCTGCCCGGTGAGCAGGGCAGTGACCCTCACAGGCGGGGCCGTCAACCCTCCCCACCTGTGACCGTTATCCCGCGGTCCTGGCCAGTCTAGCGTGGGGGTTTTGAGGCTGCTGCGGCGTTGGGATGCTTCATAAAATCTGCTCGGTTGTTAAAAGGGGCTTCTCTGCCCGCTGGGTCAAACACCATTATTGCAGCCACTGTCCTTTGGGGTAAAACTGCTCAATTCCTGAAATTCGGAAGCAGCAAAATCATGTCCCTGAGACAGTTCGCTTCTTGAGTTTCAACAGAAACCAGCTCAGACCTCGGGAAATGATGTGTGGTTCTGTGGAGAAGGTGTCGACTGAGCTCACACAGTGTCCGGAAAGGCCACAGGGCGGCTCTGCGTGCCCGGACCACGTCACCCATTTGGCCGCTGCAGCCCTGTTGGCCTGTGTCCCCTGGGCAAGGAGCAGCTCCCGCAGAGAAATCTGGTGCTGCCATCCAAGCAAGGTGGCATCAAGGCTGGGTGGCTGGAAAGCTACCAGCGTCCTCCCGGGGGGCCTCCTCTTGCCAATTCGTGAGGCCTTCGGGCTTGATACCCCCTGGACCACTGGCCACTCTTAGACAAAACTCCAGCAACTCAGCTTGGTGTTTTCTTTGTTTTCCACTGAGGGTCCCTTAATTTCACAAGTACTTGTGTGCAGCTGTAGCTCTAAGCAATACGAGGCCCCGGGGCAAGTGTCAGAGCCGGGCTCGAGCTGGGGCGCTGCGCCCCGGCTTGTGCAGAGGCAAGCCTGAAACCAAGCAGGTAATTGGCGCCAGGGGAGTCGCCTGCGTTTTCTGCCCTGCAAAGTTAACGCTGGACAGGCTGTCCGAAGCCGGGCACCGATACAGTTCTGTGATGTGCCCGCTTGCAGCTGCGACGGTTCTAAAATGGATAGAACGAGTTCATCAGTGGGAAGGGAGGCTGCACAAAGGGAACGGTCAGTCTGACCAGAGGGCCACCAAGACCCTCTGACCCTCATCAGCAGTTGCTTCCACAGACTCAGCTGGGTCCCCGGTGCTGTGTAATTGTTCCCCTTTTGTTCCTTGGTGTGGGATGTGGTCACTGGGAGCTTGTCTCCCTAACTGCAAAATGGGAATGAGAGCAGCACTGATTGAGTCCTGCAGTCTTGGGTTCTGTGGAGTTTGTCCCTTGGGGCTGTGCTGTGTCTAGTAGTTGGTAGCCTAGCTTTTGATAACAAACCCCAGTTCTTAGTGAATTCTTGTTAAACATTGTGTCTTGCCTTTCTCCCCTAAATTCTCCTGACCATAGAAGGAATAGAGCACCCCCTCCAACCTGGGAGCCAGCCCCCGCGCTGGCACCGTTTTCCGTGGTCTCTTTTAAAGGGCCATTTGCCATCTTAATATACATAGATCTTAATCCATAATGTATAAGCTGTATCCTAATAGACTGAAAATTGTTCATATTAGCAGAGGCATTGAAGGGTATGTCGATTAATGTGAGGTGAGATAAAATGCCTAATTGCAGCATCACCTTCCTGGCATTTCCCGGGGTCTTCTGAGACCCTCTGCCTCCGACGCCAGTGAGACCACAGGGACAGACAGAGGGTGCTGGGCATGGTGGCTGAATTCAGCTGGATTCCGAGATGTGTGGGTGGGTGGGTCCCTTCTGGGACTGAGGGAGCGTGTGTGTATAGCACAGCCCCTTTCTTTATAGAAGCGAACCTTGGCATTGGCTGGCTAAGCTGTCAGCCTCAGTGCTGGGGTCTCATGCGGCCCCTCAGAGCCCGTCCTCAGCAGCCTTACACTGTGGTCTCTGCCCCTCATGCAAGACACCTGTGAGTCTCGTCTGCTCCCACCCCCCACCCACCCATCTGTCCCCACTCAACATCCTTCTCCAGCCCGAGCAGCCCGAGCAGCATGATCCCTGCCACATCTCGTTTCCTGCCTCACCATAAAGAGCTTGCAGTCAGTACCCAAGCCTAGGGCCTCTGTGGGGAAGCCTGTGGGTCTCGTGGACCGGCCTCAGTGGCGTTCTGCGTGCCCAGCCAGAACGAGGGCAAAGGGTGGGTTTCGCCAAAGAAAAAGGAGACCCAAGTCGGGGAGGGAGGCAATCGCTAGGCAACCTGGAGTTTGTTTCCCAGGTAACGGGATGCGTGCGTTGATGCTGTGGATGGACATGTTGTGGTGACAGCCCCTCCGCTTCTCCAGATGCCTGCCTTGTGCCCACTGTCGTTTTCCTCTGTGGTTGCTTTTTAATTAACAACTCAGATTTCTAGTCGTGGTTGTGAACTTTGCAAACATTGTCTGATTAACCCTCTTGCTAGGACCCCCAGGAGTGAAGTCAGGGTGTTCTTCACCCTGTGGGAGGGACAGCCTGGGGCAAGTGAGTGTGTCTGCCCACACGGTCACCTTGGGCTTCATAGTGGGTGTGGGGAGAGGAGGAAGACTCTGGCGGAGAGAACGGGTCCTTCATGGTCATCGTGGCAGAAGGGGAAGAAGTAGGAGCTCCCATGTGTGGACACTGAGTTGGCACCCGCCGCCCCACTTGGCAGCCTCTTCCTCCCATGAAGTACTTCCCACCTTATTCCTCTGCTTCCTTGTCTGTTGAAGAGGATGGTGGTGTTTTCTTGTGGTGAAGTGAGGGGGCGTAGGGCTCCATGTGAAGTGGCTGCTCACCCACTTCCTGTGCCGGGGGCTTGGGCAGGGGGGCTCCAGGGGTCCTGTCTGAAGACGTCACCCTTGGTCTTTGGGGAGCCTTTTCCCCAGTTGCACACAGCACTTCAGCCTCTCGTGGACCTGTCAGTTGGGCAGAGGGGTGCTAGCAAGGGACCCCAGTAAGCAAACAGCCTTGATGCCACGTTCCTCGCCTTCTGTGTGGGTTGAGAACTAGTGAGGACATTGGGTAGAGGAGCCCTATTCCTGCTCGGACAGAGGATGTTGGGGCTCCCTGTCACCTGGAGTCCCCAGTTTGGGGACCCGGGTCCTGAGGAGGCAGTAGGAGTTCAGCTGCCACTCTCAGGCTTGGAGGGACTGTCATCACCTGCGAGCCCCAGCCCAGAGGTGGCCTGCTCCCCCCAGCCACCGTTGCCCGATCTTCTGAGACCAGGACAAAAGCCTTTTCTCTGCTCCGCATTCAAAGAGATGATTGTCCCACGATGCTGCAGCTGAGTCGCGGGAGTGCCGCTCCGGGCAGCGGGCGTGCGGGTGCCCAGGGGCCTCCCCCTCCGCGGGCATCGCTAATGGAAACACGCCCACAGGTCCAGACTGGGGGTGGGGGGGATGGGGGTCCCTCTTTCAGCTTCTGTCCCCAGTGTGTGGCTGACTGGGTTGTGAACTCGGGCAGTTCTGGGCTGGGAGGCGGAGGCCCCGCAGATGAGCAGCCGGGTTATCAGCTCCTCTTTGGCCCGTGGGAGCCCAATCAAGCCTGGGGGCCACGGCGGCCACCAGAGAAGAGGACGAGTAGGTTCCATGCGGGAGGAAGGACACAAGATGGGCCGAGCCCCGCCCTGGTACAGTGGCCACGATCGGGGTGTATTTGAACATCTGACAGCTGTCCTGTTCTGACTTGTAATTTGTGACGTCAGAGACACTTCTGATTCGATGAGAAAATGGGAGTTGCCCTGTCCCGTCCAATTCAGTGTTGCACTGTCTCCAAAAGTCCAGGGTGGTTCTCACGTGCCCAGGGTGTGGATCATGGTGATTCGACATTGGGGCCAAAATCTGAGACCTTCCAGTGTGAACTTGAAAGGAATGGTTTTCTTAGAAAATGCTGCTTCCCTGTCACCGAGGATGAGCAGCCTGGGGCTCAGGCTGCTTCTGGGCCCCTGTGCGCACCTCGAGGTGGGTCCACGTGTCAGGGCAGACGCGCTGCCCTCCTCATTTGGGCTGGGGACCTCGCAGCCACGCTGTCTGCACTGAGGTGCCGCCCCCCCACCCAGAACTAGACATGAACCGCCCCTGGCTGGTCTCGGTAGCTGACAAGTGGTGCTAGTCGTGGTCCTTTGAGAACTTCCATTTGCTCTTTGAGGCCCCAGCAAGCCCCTTGCCCTCAGACACACTCGCCTTCACAGCTGCCTCAGACTGGCTCCTCACCTGGCCCAGGTGAGGGGCGCCTGGTCCCCAGGGGTTTCCTCCAGGGAGCCCCCGTGGATGCTGCCACCTTGTCTTGTCCCTGCCTTTTCATTTTAGCCCCTCGTGCTTGTCTGGAGGGCAGTGGGGACAGCTGGGGACGGAGGCACAGTGGTGGGGCCGAGAGGAGCCTGCTTCGGCTTCAGGCAGCCGTGGACCAGGCCCCCTCAGGTGCCTGCAAGGTCTCTGGGCCTTAGTGGTCTTGGGGCGGGCGGGTGGCCACCGTGCTGCCCTGGTGGCAAGAGCAGTTGGGCGCGATGGGACTCCTGGGCCTGAGTCCCAGATGGCAGCGGAGCTAGAACCCCAGCACTTCCCGGTGGGCTGCATGTGTGGCCACGTAGGGAGGCCCAGCAGACAGCACCTTAGCCTCGTCCCAGAGCCCTCCCAGGAGGGAGGCGTGTGGTTGGCGGGGTGGCAGTACCTCACTGCAGGTGAGGGGACAGTCCACTCTGCACGCCCACCGCTTCCTCCTTCCTCCTCACAGGTATCCGCCCCCAGATCATGAACGGCCCCCTGCACCCCCGCCCCCTGGTGGCGCTGCTCGACGGCAGAGACTGCACCGTAGAGATGCCAATCCTGAAGGACCTGGCCACCGTGGCCTTCTGTGACGCACAGTCCACCCAGGAGATCCACGAGAAGGTGGGCCCTCCCCGCCTGCCAGGCCTGGTCCCCCCCGGTCAAGTGGCAGCACTTGGCATTCAGCAGGCACGTGCTTGGTGCTGCCGCTGCCCTGACACTGCCCCCCTTTCTATCCTCAGGTCTCTGCTGGCCGGTCCCTCTCACCTCCTAGCCTTCCCTGACCACACCCCCCTCCCCCTCCCCCTTGTACCACCCGGAGTCACCAGCAAGCCCCCAGAGCACAACCAGGGGCCACCCACCTGGGGGAAGCTGTCAACACAGACAACGGCTAGCTGGTTTTTGTCCTGCTGAAATCTGTGCCAGGTTCAAGGGGCGTGGGGGCCTCCAACCTGCACTCTCCCCACCTTGTCACAGGTTTTAAACGAGGCTGTCGGCGCCATGATGTACCACACCATCACCCTCACCAGGGAGGACCTGGAGAAGTTCAAGGCCTTGAGAGTGATCGTGCGGATAGGCAGCGGCTACGACAACGTGGACATCAAGGCGGCGGGCGAGCTTGGTGAGTGCCCAGCGGGTGCCTGGCGGGTGCCTGGCGGGGCTGGGGGCAGGGGTCAGCCCGAGCAGAGAACAGAGACCACGCGGTGCCGGCTTCTGGC